GTGCCAGAACAGAGGTCAGGTTATGTGTGAATATTCTGTAAGAATTCACCAACTCAAGGAAAGGCCTATGCTCCTGTACAGACATGGGAGCCAGGGCTCCTTTGATTGCCCTCGCTTTATCTTACAGCAGGTGTAACTTGACCTTGTCAACTCTATAGCCTAAGTAGATCACTTGGGGTGTGTGGAAAACATATTTTTCCCTCCTAAGGTGTACCTCTGTCTTGGGGAAATATTTAAGCATTATGTCCAAGTTCTCTAAATCCTCTCTATTGTTCTTCAAAGTTATTGGCACCTCATCCAAATAAATGGCAACCTGGAGGAGACCTTGTAAAATATTCTCCATCATCCGCTTGAAAATGGCACAGGCTGATGATACCTCAAAAGGTATATTGGTACAAACCCTTATGGGAATTAATTGTAGCATACCTCTGGGAATCCTCATCTAATCACAACTGCAGGTAGGCATGGCTTATGTCCAGCTTTGTGACGGATAGAGCATCCCAATTCCCCCAACCCCCACCAGTCTTGCGTACAAATCCTTTATTCGAGGGATTGTGTATTTATCCAGCTGTGAAAAGTGATTTACTGTTTGTTTGAAATCCCCACAAAGGTGAACCGACCTACTGGACTTCACAATCGGTCCCACCAGTGCTCCCTGTTCCACAGGCTGGACTGGTTTGATGATCCCTTCGCTTTCCAGCCTCCTGATTTCTGCCTCTACTTTTGCCCGTAAGACAAATGGCACTGGGTGGGCCTTGCAGAATCGTGGAATCGTTTCTTGGTCAACATGGAAGGTGGCCTTGGCTCCTTTGATAGTCCCTAGGCTTCTCTGAAAAACTTATGGGTGTTTCATTAGGACTTCACACAGGCTGCCATTTTCTAATTGAAAAATGTTGAGTCAAACAAGTTAAATATATCTCAACCAATTTCACTGGATCAGGCTTGGGGCCTGAGCCTTTTATTACAATCAGTGGTAGCTAAACCAGCTGCTTCTCACAAGAGAGCATAACCAAAGTTGTACCCTTAAACTGTAGGGGTTTCCCGTTATAGGTTCTCAGCCTGGCTGAGGTCCTACACAAACTCAAGGGTTTTGAGTCCAGAGCGAATTTTGGTAAATACTGGTTCTGCAATCACAGATACAGCTGTGCTCACAATATTCCAAATGTGGTCTGACCAGAGCCTAAGACAGCCTCAGCAGTACATCTCTGCTCTTGTATTCTAACCCTCTCCAAATGAATGCTAACATTGCATTTGCCTTCCTAACTGCCAACTGAACTGGCATGTTAGCCTTAAGAGAATTCAGAACGAGGACTCCTAAATTCCTTTGTGGTTCAGACTTCCAAAGCTTTTCCCTATTGAGAAAACAGTCTATGTCTGTATTCTTCGCACAAAAGTGCATAACCTCATAATTCCCCACTTCCAATGCCACTTCTTTTTCCACTGTAAGCAGTTTTGAGCCCTGTATCTGCAGAAGGATGGGCTGGCCTTGGAGGGGGTTCAGATTGGGTTTACAGGAAAGATCCTGAGGATGAAGGACTTGGCATATGAGGAGAAGTTGAGGACTCTGGGTCTGTAGTCTTCGTTGTGAGAAGTAAGGCATTGGCTTGAGAGGCTTCGGCGAGCAGCATCTCAGCAACAAGTACAATCTAATCTACCTCCCTTATGTGAGGTACGAGTCTGTGGCAGGAGAGGTCCCTGACGTTGATAGCAGTCATCCCAAGTAGCAGCGAGAGTGGGAAAGGCAGGTTTAGGGGCCGAAAGAGGGAAAGGCAGCTTGAGGTGGTCAGCATAAGAGAGGGAGCAGCGAGACCGAGGCGGGGAGAGAGGGAGGAGGCAGATCGAGGACGGGAGGAGAGAGGGAGCAGGCAGACTGGGGTGGGGGAGAGGGGGAGCAGAGAGACCGAGGTGGGGGAGAGGGCGACGTTAAACCCTTGTGAGGGGTACGGGCCGAGCATGGTCAGTCACTTACAGACGGACTGTGATGTTGAACTATTAACTGTGTTTCTTGTTTGTCTACACTTTAATAAGAAGGGCTGTAATGTTTAACTTCTTAACTTGCTTTCTTTATTTTTCTGTTTTGTACTAAGATTCTGTGCCTAGGTACATTTGTACCTAAGATGGCGCCGTAAGTGGCCCCTTGTAAACTTTTCATTGTACTCATGCAAATGAATACATACGACAATAAAAGCTAATTCTAATTCTTCTCCTGGTCTGTCCAGGTCCTTCTGCAGCCTCCCCACTTCCTCAGCACTACCTACACCTCCAGCTATTTTTATATCACTTGAAAACCTAGTAACAATTCCCTCAGTTCCTCCATCCAGGTTGTTAATATATAATGTGAATAGTTGTGGGCCTAACACTAACCCCTGTGGAACTCCACTTAGATCCAAAAAAAGACCCTAGTCTCTGCCTTCTGCCAGTCAGTCAGTGTTCTATCCATGCCAGTACCTTGCCCCTGATACTGTGGGCTTTTATCTTGTTTACCATTCTCCTGTGCAGCACCTTCTGGAAATCCAAATAGATCACATCCACTGGTTCTCTTTTGTCTAACAAAGTCATTACCTGCTCAAATAATTCTAAGAGTTTTCAGGGATGAGACCCCCCACTTGACGAAGCCGTGCTGACTGAGCACTATGATTTCAATTTGCTGTGCAGTTGATTGATGAACAAGATTAGCAAAGGAAATGAGAGGCTACCAAGTCCATAAGTGCTGTTTAGAGTGGAATTAAGAGGCAAGGAGGAAAATGATTGAAAAGTGTGGGAAAGGAAGTTTTACAGACGAAACAATTGTCACCACTATGCAACACATTGACTAGCATTGTCTCAGTGTGACACATTAATGATGTGATTCAAAGCAAGTAAATGACAAATAAAAGTGCACTTGCAGAAAACACACTCATCAGAACCACTTGGCAAGAATGCAAATTCAAACGCATTTGCATGGCAGGAGAGGAGAGCACTGATAGGGTGGCGAGAGATCTCTGATGGGTTAAGCCACAGAGGGTGCAACAAGGGGCTGGCTGCATTGCAGAAAAAAAGCATGCAACACGGTGTCCAAACTGAACCCGATTCTTCAATTGGACGACACATGCTGAACAGTCCCGAGTGTGCAAGGGATGGTGTTGACAAATGGATGAGGACAGGCAGCCAGCCTCACAGTGCGGTCTACTGAAAGCTACACACGTTGACATGCCTCTGCATGGTGGTGCTCAGGTGGCCAACAGCCGAAATGGCTACCAGACTGGTTAAAGGCTACAACCAAGCATGATGGGAATTTCAGTTAAGCTAGTTTCAACCCTGACCTTGGTTCAAACTGTGGCCAGGACCTGCAGTTTCCAGTGTTGAGCAAATAAGGCAAGTGTCACAGCAGTCATTGAGACAGACTGGCGCTATATTACCTTAAACAGAAGATTGAATATGGCTGTTTAACATTTGGGAAGTTTAATTTTTAATCATTGCTCAGACTATTGAATATAAGAGTTGGGATGTCATGTTGCAGTTGAACAGGATGTTGGTGAGGCCGCTATCAGAGTACTTGTACAGTTCTGGGCACCCTGTCATGAGAAGGATGTTTTTAAACTGGAAAGAGTGCAGGAAAGCTTTACAGAATGTTGCCAGGACTGGAGGGTTTGAGCTACTAGGAGAGGTTGGATAGGTTGGGACTTTATTCCCTGGAGCGTAGGAGGCTGAGGGGTGATCTTATGGAGGTTTATAAAATCATGAGGGGCACAGATTAAATGAATCGCAAAGGATTTTTTAAAATCCAGGGTAGAGGAGTCTAAAACTAGATGGCATAAATTTAAGGTGAGCAGGGAAAGATTTAAAAGGAATCTGGGGAGCAACTTTTTCACACAGAGGGTAGTGCATGTATGGAATGAGCTGCCAGAGGAAGTGCTAGAGGTGGGTACAACATTTGAGATTGAAAAGACATTTGGAAAAATACATGAATAGAAAACACTTAGAGGGATATGGGCCAAACACAGTCAAATGGGACTAGTTTAGTTTAGTTTAGGGAAACCTGGTCAGCATGGACAAATAGGGCCAAAGGGCCTGTTTCTGTGCTCTATGGCTCAATGACTCAGTAAAACTCCATTGGCTGGGATCAAACAATGTGATCAGGGTTTGCTAACTCTGGAAGGAGGAGTGTACTGATTAGAATGAGGTTAGCCAGTGGATCTCATAGAGTATGTGTTCCCTGACCAATCAGGGAACCTTGGCTGATAGATATAAACAGGAATGTCAGAGAGTCTCTTCACTCTCGTGACTGGGTTTGAGCTAGCTCGTCACATTACATACTGTGCTTGTGCAAACAAAAAGTGATTTGGTGACAGGATACTGGCTCTGTGCAGTTATTTCAAGGTGCGCTTTTTGAGGAAAAGTTAGTGGAGCAAAGGATTTCTCAGGAAGAGTTCTGGAGACCAATATTTGCAAAGTATGAGTTCTGAGGAGATTTTCAGAGAATCACGAGGCAAGTCTGAAACTGAGTGCAAAGCTGGCCACTGCATTCAAGCTGGGCTAATATTTCTTTCAAGCCAAACTTATAGAGTTAGGGTCAAATGTGAATTAAGTCAAGTAGAGTGAAACTAAATGAAGCGAGTTAAAGTTGAAGTTAAGTTAGATGAAGTAAGATGTGAATATCGCAATGAATGAATGCTTTATATTGAGTATTGGTATCTAAAGGGTTAAATTTTAAAAAAAAGTTTATTTGGCAAGTCATGGATGTTATAGGTGATCTACAAATGATTCCTTCATTTGTAGAATCAGAAAATAGATGAAGGAGTAGGTCATACAGCACTTTGAAGACTGCTCCACTTTTCCATCTGATCATAGTTAATCATCCAACTCTGTGCCCTGGTCCTCCTTTTACCCCATACCTTTTAATCCCTTCAGCCCTATGAACTAGCCTTTTGTCTGTAGAATATCTGAGTAAAAGTCTTCAGTGCTCCTCTCTGGTTACATTACAATCCACAACTGATGGCTTCTTCCATTTTGATCCATACCTGACACAGTGAGGGCGAGCGGCTCACTACAGTTGATAACGTGGGCACCGGCATTTGTAGCACCGCAGGAGTACATGGCACCCTCTCCCCTCAGGTGGCACGGTGACATGGAAAATGGCTGTCCGGGAGACAACACTGTCGTGTTACTCAGGAGGTGCTGATGGTGACGGTATAGCATGAGGTTTATAGGCAGTGTCTCTCTTTTGGAGGTACACTGGATGGTGAAGTTGTCGCCGCCAGACACAGCAGACCCCTTCAGATCTGAGCTGATGGATGGGCAGCTCACTGGGGCTGGGAAGGAGAGAGAAAATACAGGCTCAATTAAATCGCAAGAAGCAAAAGTAATGATCCCAACACAAATTGTACGTGGACATTGTTGTTCACGCAAAGACACATCCCCAATGGTGAAGATGCAGTTCGATAAAGTTAAGGAGTTTCCAGCAGAGAAAGAGGACCTTTGGCCCATTCAGTCTTACTAGCCAAAAACAAGTAGCTTGCTATTCTAATCTTTTCATCAGGGTTAAAGGATTCAAAGTGTATGGGGTGAAAGGGGGACCAGGGCACCGAGTTGGAAGATGAGCTATGATCAGATTGAATAGAGGACAGGCTTTGAAGGGCTGAATGGCCTACTCCTGCTCCTATTTTCTGTGCTTCTCTGAATGAAGGAATCATATGTAGGTCACCTGTAACATCTGTGATTCCTACATATTACAGCATACATTCCATGTGACTGAGCTGTCCTGCCATACCTTAATTTACCTCATTTAATTTAACATTATGTGACTTTTACTTACTCATCATAACTTTATTTTATTTGATCTTACAATAATAAAAATAACAGCTGTTGTTCAACCTTACCAGGGCTGAGAAATCCAACTAACATTTAACATTAACATTATTAATTAATTCAAATAAACCTCACTTGAACTCTTTGTCCCTTATTGCTATTACTTTCCTTTCTTGACTTATGTGATGTGGACATCGCTGGCCAGGCCCAGTATTTATTACCCTAGTTGATCCATTGAAAAGGTGGTGGTGACCTCCCTTCTTGAACTGCTGCAGTCATATGATGTCGGTACACCCACAATACCTTTAGGGAAGAAATTCAAGATTTTGACCAAGTGACACTGAAGGAACGCTAATATATTCCCAAGTCAAAATGACAAGTGGCTTGGAGGGGAAATTACAGGGGATGGTGTTCCCATATATCTGCTGCCCTTGTCCTTCTAGATAGAAGTGATTGTGGGTTTGGAAGGTGCTGTCAGAGGATCTTTGGTGAAATTCTGCAGTTCTTCTGTAGATAGTAGATAGTATACATTGTTGCTATTGAGCATCAACAGTGGAGGGAGTGGATATTTGTGGTGCTGATCAATGGGGGGTGGGGGCTGCTTTGTCACTAGATGGTGGTGAGCTTCTCAAGTGTTGTTGGAGCTGAACTCATCCAGGCAAGTGGGGAGTATTCCATCTTACTCTTGACTTGTGCCTTGTTGATGGTAGGCAGACTTTGGGGGAGTCTGGAGCTGAATTAATCACTGCAGGATTCCCAGCTTCTGATCTGCCCTTGTTACCATAGTATATATATGGCACGTCCAGTTCAGTTTCTGGTCAACAATAATCTCCAGGATGTTGATAGCTGGAGGTTTTTATTGATGGTAACGCGATTGAAAGTCAAGGGAGCAATGGATAGATTCTCTCCCAGTGGTAATGCCCAGGATGTTGATAGCTGGGGTGGGGGTGGGGGAAAGGGCTGTGGAATTCAGTGATGATAACACCACTGAATGTCAAGGGATGATAGTTAAGATTCTTTCTTATTGAAGATGGTCATTGCCTGCCATTTGTGTGGCATGAATTTTAATTGCCACTTGTCAGCCCAAACCTAGATATTGTCCAGATCTTCTTGTATTTGAACATGGACTGCTTCAGTATCTGAAGAGTGATGAATTAATCTGAGCATTGGTGAACATCCTCACTTCTGAGCTTACAATGGTGATGAATGGTGATGCAGCTGAAGATGGATGTGCCTATGTTAAATACCACTTCAATGAGGGGGTCTTCTCAAATAGTGGGAGTGCCCATCCCTTTGCGCCAGGAGGCTTGCCGTTTTTTAACCCCACCTACTCCAGAGCTGTGTGACAGCAACCTTTGAACAGACTGATTAGAAAATAATGAAAATTAACCAAGTCAATGACTGTGTTGAAAATCAGAGGATTCATTCAGTTGAGAAAGGTGTGAGTCATTAGCTTGGCTGCTATTTGTTGCTCCCAGACTAATTGTACCCTGGGATTTCTAATGAGCCTGTTTTACAAGGCTCAACTAATTCCTGCGCGGCTACATATTCACCTCACAACTGTGATGCTGTTGTTTTGGGGAATTTCAAACTCACTACGGTTTATTGAATATTCACAAAAAGGGAGAGGTGTGCAGCTGAAATCATCATTACCCCCTTCATGGCAGGATACAAGAATGGCAATCCATAAAGGGAACAACAATTTATACCATGTGAGAAAAAGATTGTTGTCAGATGGACTGCGATTGGTCCAGCCTTGCAATGGGCAGATGAAGGGACTCAAAATCGGAGCAGGAGGAGGCCATTGAGCCCTTCCAGCCTACTGTGCTCATTCAATGGGATCATGGCTGATCATCCAATTCAGTCCCTAGTTCCCCACTTTCTCCCTTTAGGCCCTAAGAACTCTTTCCTGAAACAACCTTATCCGTTTTCTGGGGCAGAGAATCCCACAGCTTCCCCATGCTCTGATTGAAGACATTTCTCCCCATCTCAGTCTGATCCCATCTCCTTTTGACTGTCACACCCTGGCTCCGGATTCCCCTGGCCATTGGGACCACCCTTCCTGTATTTACCCCTGTCTAGTCCTGTTAGAATTTTATACGCTTCTATGAAATCCCCCAGTCATTTTTCTAAACCACAGTGAATATAATCCTAACTGATTCACTTTCTCTTCATCCGTCAGTCCTGTTACCCCAGGGATCAGTCTGGAAAACTTTGTTGCACTCCCTCTGTAGCCAGAACATCCCCCCCCACCCCTCCTCAGATTCTGCACACACAATACTCCAGGGGGTAGTCTCTCCCCCTGCTCCTGGATTCAAATCCTCTTGCTATGAACGCCAATATCCCATTTGCCTTCTTCACTGCCTGGCGCTCCTGTAATGCTCACTTTCAGTGACTGGTGTACAAGGGACACTCAAGTTTTATGGAACCTCCCCTTTTTCCCAATCCATTGCTATTCAGATAATAATCCACCTTCCTGTTTTTGCTCCCAAAATTGATAACCTCTTTGATTCACATTGAACTGCATCTGCTATGCACTTTCCCACTCAACCAATTTGTCTGAATCACACTGAAGCATCTCTACATCTTCCTTCACAGCTCAGCCCCTATACATCCACAAGCTTTTGGAGCAGACTGAGGGCATTCCACTCATCCAGCATTCCATCATGACTGATATATTTCTTGATCCCATTCTCCCTGTGACATCTTTAAAAATCACAAACCTAGCGGTGGGGATGACATACACCCCCAGTGATCCTGTCTCCAATCCAGGCCTGTTTTAGACCAGACCAAATCCCCTTTAAATATATCAAGGAGATAGCCTAGAACCAAAATTTTAACCTTTTTAAAGCCGAGTGTAACCTGCCATATTCCTGATCTAATTCAATGGGTCACGCTGCTCAGCTGTAGGGTCAGACTGGAATGTGTTTTGCTGAAAGTTAAAATACAAACAGAAGAAAGAGGAATTGGAAAACGTATCAGAATAATAGATGACTTGATTTCTAGGCAGCAATTGTTCCAATAAAGTACTAGCCCATAAACACACCCTTGGCAAAGGCAAATTCAGTAAGACAGATTGTCTCCTATTCAATTCTGGCAGTTGAGAGAAGCCGAGCTTTTAGCTGAAGCAAAAAGAGAGATGTAGCAGATTCCACAACCAGCAATAACTGCTGAAAGCTAAATTAAAACTCTAGTTCTGAGGATGGGAGTCTGACTCCACCCATTCCTGCTGTTTCTACTCGTTCAACTTTAAAATAAACCCCAAGGCCTCCCAAGCTGTTTATTTTATTGGATTGCAGCAAACTGCTTTTCTCCAGACTCATAGATTCATACAGTCATACAGCAGGGAAATAGATCTTCGGCCCAACTCATCCATGGTGAGCAGGCTTCTGAAAATAAACTTGACCCACTTCCCTGTGTTTGGCCCATTTCCCTCCAAACCTTTCCTACTCATGTTTTTATCCAGATGCCTTTTACACATTGTAATCATACCCACAATCCATCGTCTCATCTGGAAGTTCATTCTGCATATGAACCATTCTGTGTTTTAAAAAAAATCCCCTCGTTTCTTTTTTAAAACTTTCTCCTCTCAACTTTAAAATGTACCCTCTCGTCTTAAAATCCTCCATGAGGGAAAAGACACCTGCTCCTCATGAGTTTAAAATCCTCATTAAGGTCACCCCCCAAACTCCTAGCTCCAGTGAAAAGGTGGCAACGATGATACAAAAGGTTTGCAGAGGGATATAGACAAGTCAAATGAATTGGTACAAACCTGGCAGATGGTATATAATGTGGGGAAAGGTGAAGTTTAGCAATTTGGCAGGAGGAATAGAGGGGCTGAATATTACTTAAATGGAGAGACACTGCAGAAAGCCACATTACTGAAGGATCTAGGAGTCCTCGTCCACAAATCACAAAATGCTAGCATCCAACTGCAGCGGGTCATACTGAAGGCAAATAGCATTTATTCCAAAGGGAATGAAGTATAAAATCAGAAGGTTATCTACAAGACTCCAGTCATACCACAGCTGGGAAACAGTGAACAGTTTTGGGCCCCATATCTGAGGAAAGATTGAATGGGCATTGGGGACAGTTCAGAGAAGGTTCACTCTGCGAATCCTGGGTATGGGGGGATTGGCTCATGAGGGAGAGGTTGAGTCGGTTGGGCTTGTCCTCATTGGAGTTTAGAAGAATGAGGGGTGACCTTATTGAAGATTCTTAGAGGGATGTAACAGGGGAGATGCAGAGAAAGGCTGTTTCCCATTGTGTGGGAGAGTCTAGGGCCAGAGGGGCATCATCTCAGAATAAAGGGGGGTCGCCCACTAAATCTGGAGATGAGAAGGAATTTCTTCTCACCGCGTGGAGAGAATCTATGCAAATCTTTACTGCTGATGGCTGTCAAGTCTGGGGTCATAGAGTATATTCAAGGCCAAAACAGATTTTTAATCAGGAAAGGGAATCAATGATGATGGGGGAGAAAAAAACAGGAGACTGGCATTAAACATGATTAGATTGGCCACAATCCCATTGAATAGTGAAGGGGACATGATGGGCTGAATGGCCTACTCCTGCTCCTATGCCCTATGGTCTTCACATTCTGTGAACATTCAGCTTACATGCACCATACAAATGCAAAACGGTTGCACAGAGTCACCCAACCTTTACAGTAAGAGGCCACTTACAGCCAAAAGATCTCCAGTCAGAAACTTGTCACGGGATCAGAGCAATCTGCCAACTACATATCTCTCATTGTCAACTTTACTCTCCCTATCCCCAGCAGCTAAATTGAGAGAGAAAAACTGGGTCTCTTCCAACAACATTAAAAGACAATAATGTGAAGATGTAGGCAGAGACTCATTTCTGACCATTCGTCATTTACTGGTACATTCTCTATTGTAACACAGAGACCAAAGTGCCAGTCCATCCCCCCTCTTGCGTTGCCAATGTCCACTTTCTCCCCCTCGAGTTGGCTCTCTTGCAAAGTATCCTGAATGGTTTCAAGATGACAAGTTAAACTCGCCATTTTCTTTGGTCAGATCAGTGCTAACGAACCATGGTTTCCATCCCTCATCAGCATCCCGCACACCCCCACCCAACCACACACACACACACACACCCCTCCCTTGGCCACTTGGTTTACTTACTCTGGACAGTGACTTCGACCCAGTGAGGCAGAAATTTCAAAAGATTCTGGAAAACTGCACAGCGGTACCATCCCGAATCCATTAGGGTTGCTCGGTGGATGTGACAGACGTTGGGAGGCATGGAATCAGAGTTCAGGAGGGTCTCATTTCTGTAGAAGTAAATTTGTCCTCTCTCACACACATGATCCTGGGTACACCGACAATTCAGTGTGATGGGATCACCATCTCTCTTTAGTCTAGGATGCACCTGCAATATCACCAGGGTTTCTGAAATTGACAGAGTGGTTAGATGTTTTGTGATGTAAACCATGGAATTTTATTAATCATTTTCAATGTTTGTTGCTTGAATATCTGCTTAGCAGCTGTAGTGAGTGTATCAGGGTGGACCTCACAGAATATAAATTCCCTGACTGGGGCTGTTAACCTAGTTCAGAGAGTCCTGGCTGATAGATACAAACAGGAGTGTCAGGAATTCTGCTCACTCCAGGAGCTCGCTCTGAGCTAGCTGGGCCAGTGTCATGTACTATACAAGTGTAATTAAAGGGTGACTTGGTGACTGGATACTGACATCAGTGGAGTTATTTCACCTGTAATTAACAGATGCATTTTTATCTCTGCACGTGATGTTAATCGTTAACTCACAAGTACTTCTGACACCATTCCTTTTAAAAACAGTTTGGAAGCCTGAATGGCTTTATGCATCAGCGAACATTTGCTGCATTTGGATTGCTTTTTGTTGGAATGGTTGACAGTGCAGGTCTGAGACACCTCTTGGGATGAGTGATCATAACATGATAGAATTCTTCATGAGAATAGAGCGTGAGATTCTGGGACGAGGTTCCTGAATCTTAATAAGGAAAACCACAATGGTATAAGGCGTGAGTTGGCTATGATGGATTGGGAAATGTTACTGAAAGGAATGAGAGTGACTCGGCATTGGTGAACATTCAATGACCGAATGGGTGAATTACAAAAAGTATTTATTCCAACCTGACTCAAGAGTGCAAAGAGAACAATGGCCAAACAATGGCTTCTAAAGGAAGTTCATGAGAGTATTAACAGCCAAAAAAAAAGCATGAAAGTTTGCAAGAGAAAGAAACACTAGCCCCTAAGGATTGGGAACAGTTTAAAAGCCAGGAAATGAGGACCAGAGGGCCTGAAGAAGGGTAATGCCTGAAACATTGACTGCTCTTTTCCTCCAGATGCTGCCTGGCTTGCTGTGTTCTTCCAACCTCCTACTTGTCGACCTTGAATTCCTGCATCTGCAGTTTTTTTTTTGTCTCAGGATCAAAGGATTGGTTGAGAAAGGGAAACCAGAGTATAAGTGTAAACTTGCAGGGAACATAAGAACTGACTGTGACAGCTTCTACAAGTATGTAAACAGGATAAGATTGGTGAAAACTAACCTAAGTCCCTTGCAATCAGGAACAGGGGACTTTTTAATGGGGAACACAGAAACAGCTGATGAACTAAATTGATATTTCACTTATGTTTTCACACAGAAGGATATGAAAAATGTACTGGAAAAGATGGGAAACACAGAGATTAGTGAAATGGAAGAAGTAAAGAAATATTGCTGGGGGAAATTGATGGGATTGAAGGGCGATAAATCCCCAGACACTGACAACCTACATCACAGAGTGCATAGGTAAGTGGCCTCAGAATTAATGGATACATTGGTGACCGTGTTCCAAGATCCTACAGACTCTGGAACAGGTTATACAGATTACCGGGTAACTGATGTAATATGATTACTTAAAAAATGAGGTGGAGAGAAAACTGGAAATTATGTACCAGTGAGCCTGATGCCAGTATTGGGAGTATCAGGGACAGGGAGATGTTGAGGGTTCAACATTGGCATTGTTTCAAGTCAACATGGGGGCAGTTTAACCTGGGTGGTGGGGTAAAACCAGAAGCACTATAGCCAGCAACTGATATCAAATCCAGCACCATGGTGATATCAGCTAGAATTAACTGTTCAGATTATTACTGCCTTACAATAAGAGTCTGCTCAGATTATTACAGGTTTGAAGGGACAAATGGCCTCTTCTTGCTCCTCTCTTCCTCTATGCCTAATTAATGCCAATCATAGTTTTCCTTTCAGCCCCTGAAATTCAATTTCCTCTAGATTTCATGGGAATTAAATCAATCAAATTGTGCTACCAACTTCCAAAATCCCATCTATATCAAATTTGGGAATCTACATTAGTTTGGATAGAGGATTGGCAAGCAAATAGACAACAGAGAGTCAGGATAAATGGGTCTTTTTTTTGTGGTTGGCAAGCTATAATGAGTGGGGATCAATAGGGTTCAGTCCTTGTCCCCAACTATTTACGATGTATATTAATGACTTGGGTGAAGGGATAGAAGATGACACTAAAATAGTTGGGAAACTAAGCTGCAATGAAGAAATAACAAATAGAAATGGATAGGTTAGGTGAAGATGCCAACATTTGACATGGAAAAGTGTGAGGTTGCCCATTGTAGTCAACGGAGTAGAAAGGCAAATGATTATTCAAGTGGGAGAGAAACTTAAGAGTGATCTGGTACAGATGCATCTGGGTGCCCTTGTGCATGAATCTCAGACAGCTGGCATGCAGGGACAGCAGGTAATGGGGAAGGCAACCGGCAATTGCTAAAAGAATGGCACATATGAGAAAGGAAGTGTTGCTGCAACTATACAAGGCATTAGTGTTTCGGCATCCAGAGTACTGTGTAGAGTTTTGGTCCTCTTACTTGAGAAGGGATGTAGTTGCATTGGATGCAGTTCAGAGGAGAATCATGAAATTGATTCCTGAGATGAGGAGTTTGTCTTATGAGGAGAGATTGAGCAGTTTTGCCCTACACTGTCTGGAGCTTATAAGAACAAGAGGACTCCTAACTGAGGGATATTAGATGGTAAAGGGGGCGAATGACGAAGGAGATGGAGAGAGGGTGTTTCCTCATGTGGGACAATCTAGAACGAGAGGTCAAGGTAGCTCAGCAGTTAGCACTGCTGCCTCACAGTGCCAGTGACTTGAGTTCAATTTCACCCTTGCAGCTGTCTGTGTGGAGTTTGCTTGTTCTCCCTGTCTGTGTGGGTTTTCTCTGGGTGCTCTGGTTTCCTTCCACAGTCCAAAGATGTGCAAGTTAGGTGAATTGGCCATGCTGAATTACCTTTAGTGTTCAGAAATGTACAGGTTAGGTGGGTTAGCCATAGGTAATGCAGGGTTGTGGGGATGAGTCTGGGTGGGGTGCTCTTTGGATGATTGGTGCGGCCTCAATGGGCTGAATGGCCTGTTGCCACACTGATTGAGATTCTATGGATTTCAGGAGAATGGGAATGGGGCAGATTGAAAACAGAGATGAGGAGGAATGTCTTCTCTCAAAGTGGGGGAAAGGGTGGTGCGTGAATCTGGAGGAATTCACCAAACCCCCAGAATGTGTGGGGGATGCCGGGATGCTGAATAAATTGAAGGAGGGGACAGAGTTTTAATCAGTGATGGGTTAAAGGGAATGAGGGCAGAAAAGTGGAGTTGAGGCCGAGATGTGATCAGCCATGGTCGTATGGAATGGGGGAGCAGGCTTTCAAGGGACTGAATGGATTCCTCCTGCTCCTAGCCTCTACATTCTAAAAGTGACACGTACCTCGCACATCCACACGTATGTAAGCTGATGTGTACACAGGACCATTGAGATAATCAACAAAACGCACTTGGCATCGATACTGTCCTAAATCCTCAAATGTAACCCGCTCCTTTTGAAAAGAAACACTTTTATTTATTTATTGTCTGGATCTCAGCCATAACAGAACCTTCCTGATAAAATGTGTAAACGAACTTATTGTGCGTGGGGTACGTGCAGTTACAATTCAGCCTCAATGTCTGTTCATACCACAGAGGTTCTGGCTCAGACTCAATCCTCATAGTCGAATCAGGAGCTGGCAAAAAAGAAATGACTCGAAATAATAACAGGATGTAAGCACCAACCAGACCAATCAGCTACTTGCTGCTCATCAAATCTCC